TCCTCATTCACCTGGATCGCACAGTTAGACTGATTGAGCAAAAGGGCATGGATATTACAGCAGTTGAGAGCCTTTTTGTACCAATTTGTTCTGAATTCATGGCAGACATGGGGGTTCCTAAATCCAGATTTGTCCTGTTCTGTAGGCACTTGAGGCCCGTTTGAAGTACGCAGTAATCTTAAACCCTCATTTGCTGAGACTGTCTTGAAAGAAAAAGAACCTGATGTAAAAAAAAATTGAACTTGCCATTGATTAAAGAAAGATCAAATAAGCGGAGTATCATGAAAGCTAAAGGTTGACAGTATGATTCAATAAAGCAGGGCACATAATATGCTTTTTATTCCAGCTGTCAAATTGGAACTTCTTAGCTTTATCAGAACAGGAAATCCAGTTAATAGACCTGTTCAGAACAACCAAATGAAAAATGTGGTTTGGTTTTATTTGGGAAGTCAGCCGTAAAGACAAGTAAACACTGGTCACCCTTTGTAAAGGTAACATTTAAGGTTTCCGGTTAAAATATTAACTAGTTATTGTTGCTAATCATTAACTATTCATTATAATAATGTAATAGCAATTTTAGTATTATTTCTTTGTAGTTCTTAGAACATATATTTGTAGAGGCAGGTAATTTTGAATGCCAAAAATCCTACTGCAAAGTATATACCACTAAAATATCGTGTGAGCTTTATCATTTTGTGTATCACCTAGGTTATATGAAAAACAAATAGATAAACAATTAATTAGAACAAGTAGATCGGAATACAAATAAAGGAAGTTACCAGCTTCATACACCCAGTCTTTCCGTTGGGAAATCGACCCTTTAATCTCAGGGAAACTATGACAATTCAAACTAAAATGTGTTGTGGGTTTTTTTTAATTGAACTTCAAATGTATAATGAACTGTTTATTATTAGGAATTATTGTATTACTGGAGTAGCAATTGTACTATGACTTTTCTGTGATAAATTGCATTGAGCAGGGCTACTGTTTGGTGCAATACATGTGCAGAAATCTGGAGAAAAGAGAAACTTTGGAAACACAATAGTCAAACTAGTCAGAACCTAATTCCCAATCATAATTGAGAGGCTCATCATTTCTTTCCTCCTGACTTTAGCTGAAGTTTATGCTAGTAACCCTTGTTTTGCCAGTTCCCCAACACTCCTATCTTTACCATAATGTTGTACTTAGTCCTTGTTTTGTAGGGCTTTCCAGGCAGATGACTAGGATGCTTTTATAAAGTAAACATTTCCATGTTGTCAAGTATCAGAGGGGTAGCCGTGTTAGTCTGAATCTGTAAAAAGCGTGTGGTGACCCTCTGTTGCCATTTCCATGTTGGTCTTATTTGCCTCGCTGATAAAATGAAGTGGAATCAGCCCTACAGAACTCCCTTACAAGGAACTTTAAAGTCCCTTCTCTGTTTTCTAGAGCCTGAAACTACCTGCCGTCTGGTCTTAATCTTTTATTTACCAGGCGCGGGAAAGGAGTGTGCCTTTGGGGGGGATGATTGCTGAGAACACTGGAAAATACACGTTCTTTTTTCTGAATAGATCAAACAGTCATTTGTCCTGTTTTAAGCAGTAAATCCGGAGTGCTTTGTTATGCTAATACAGTCTGACATCACTCCACAGATCAAAGCCACTGGGACCCCATATAAGCAGGTTCTTAAGGCAGAGAGGGCAGAGGCAGACGCGCAGTTGGCAATGTGCTTATGACACACACACACACACACACAAACACACATTATCCGCTGCATCTTCACGCAGCCTTTCACTTTTGTCGCTCTTCCCTTCCCCTCCCCTTCTCTGTCCACCCTTAGCGGAGTTTAACAGCGTTTACCTCCGGCTGACCTCCAGTGTTGGGATCTGTATCTACAGTATTTTGTCTGCTGCTGCTGCAAAAGTTTGTGTTTGCTGGGAGAAGGGGTCAAGGCGAAGGGGAGCCGGTGCGGCTTTACCGGGAAAGGTAAGGAAGGGGATTCTTGCTGGTGGGTATCGATTGATTCATGTCTAATCCCTCACCGTTAAACCTGGTCAGGGGCAGAGGGAACCAGATCCCCGAGTGGATTATTTTTCACTGCTGCCAGGGAGACGCAGGTTTGGCTTCCTCAGAAGGCGAGGACTTAAGAAATGTTCACACGAAGGACGCAACAGTGTCAGGGCTAGGGGAGAAAACCCTCTAACTTCCCAAAGCTCTAACCAACCCCGAGCGGGGCAAAACGGCCATAGGATGGTCTAGCTGGGATCCCGTCTGGGGTGATGACACAGCAGAGCGCTGCGAAAAGAAAGAAGAGATTCAGAGCCTGGGATATGTTGGTGAAAGTTTGCTGCCAATGTTCAGGGGCCATTAACGAGGGACGGGCGGGTGTGGGTTTGCCTGGGTGCAAGGCGGGGGGTTGTTAATGTGTTCCACAAACCCGAATTGTTAAGGGATTGTCAATGGAGATGGAAAATACAGAGCAACGCAATCATTATTTAGTTGGGAATTGGTCCTGCTTTGAGCAGGGGGTTGGACTAGATGACCTCTTGAGGTCCCTTCCAACCCTGATATTCTATGATTATTATACACACATCCCCACCCCTTGCCTATCTGGTTCATCGCTTTGCAGCGTGTTTACCTTTAACGTGTGTGTGTGTGTGTGTGTACACATCACATAGCGATCAGCTCGGCTGTAATGTAGAGGATCTGTGCTGTAGCATACGTGACACACAATCACACGCCCTGGAATTGGAAGCCCGGTCCCTGGTTGGAATGAATGGGACAATAATACTATAAAGCTTAAGAATGAGCCGGGTTGTTTCTCTTTCCCTCTTGGCGGACAAGCTGTGATATGAGTTTTAGGGAGAGGAAAAGGTACGTGAGGTTTTTGTGGTGTTAGTTATCATCATTATCGGTTTTCTGATGAGCGAATTTTCTTCAGCGCGGACGTAGCCACCGAAGAAGCGGCTGCCAAGGGCAGCTGGTCTGAAACATACACGGGCAAAGCAAAGCAGGACTTTTAGGAGAAAACAGGTCGGGTTTAGACAACAAGCCCCCTGCTGCTGGCTTGATCGGTGACCTAGGGCTCTTCGCCCTTGTAAACAACACGTCTGATGGCTTGAATAACTGTTTCCCCCCCTTGCCAGTTTCTCCTGAATTTGTAAATGTAACCTGTTCCGGAGCGAGAGGCTGGAAATCCGGTGATAATGATACAGGCTGGACCGGAGTTCTGGTCCGGACAGTGTCCGGTCTGGGCTGGGGGAATTCTGCAGAGCCGGGTTAGATCGCTCGCTCCCTTTCAGAAATTTCACACTGAAGTCTGTGCTGTGCAGCAACTTCGTGAGAGACAGATAAGGGGTCTGAAATAGCCCCCAGGCCGCCCGATGCATGGTCAGGATTCAAGGGTGAAGGTTTCAAGTGTGTCCTTGTTTTAAAAGAAAGATAAAAGACCCCGGAATAAATCTCTCGCTGTGCAGACGCAGGAGACCAGGGAACATGCCTCTCCGCAGAAGCGGCGCGAGCGCTGCTTGCAACTTAATAAGAAAGGGAATAAAAATCGAGGCGGGTGAAATCTTGATCCAGTGGTACAATGTCACTTTCCCGACAACAGTGTTTCAGGGATTGGGTTCTTACGCCAATGGGGACACCCTGAAGGAAAACCCAAAGTTCCCGTGCGGGAACTCGCACGTTTAAACGGGTTTCCAAAGTGGAGTCCTCTCCTAGGGGATTAAAGAGTTGACCCTTCAAAGAGCGCAGTTTGGAAGAGAGCTTCAGGCAGCCCCAGACCTGGGAGTCAGGCAGGCATTCAATTATCAACATGAAGGGCATGATCCTTCCTCCTATTCTATTGAATGCCAGTGGCCAAGGTTTTCCGAAGTGACTGGTGATACCGGCTCGTCCAGTTTTGGGGGTGGCTGACTTGAGACACCTTCAAGAGGCCTGATGAGAAAGTGCACTAGTGCTCAGTAATTACTGAAAACCAGATCCCCCTCTAATGTGTATGAAGGGCCTAATTTGGGCATCCAAATTCACTAGCCACTTTTGAAACCTTGCCCGTTGACTTTAAGAGGAGCAGAATCTGGCACACTTGAGAAAAACCACTGCAGGTTAAGAAGAAAAGAAGACCCTCACTGTTGTCTAGAATGAGTGATGGGAGAAAATCCCGATTGCTTTATTACTACCGTTGTTACAGGGAGCAGGGCTAGCCCCTGTCTGGGAAAGGGAGGACTCGTAAGAATTTAGGAGTCATGTGCCTTGTTTGTTTAATAAAAAGCAAAGAAAGGGGGATCCCTGAGATCTTTCGTTTGCTGCTGGACGCTTCTTTGAGACAATTTCGATTGTAATGTTTACTATGGGGCCAGAGTGGCGGGCACTTCCTTGCGCTCCAGGTGCTCGTGTATTTGGAAGAAGCGAGAAGCAAAGTTAATGAGGTGAGAATGAAAGCAGGAGGGAAGGAACAAAACACATTTGTTTGTAACAGATCAGACAGACGGAAACATGTGCAGAGCAAGAGCACCTCCATTAGTCAACACATGTATGTTTAATGTGTCTTTTTTTCAGAAAGATCTATCTATCTATCTATCTATCTATCTATCTATCTATCTATCTATCTATCTATCTATCTATCTATCTATCTATCTATCTATGAAGAGGATTAGCTAAAACAGAGACCTGAGATTTGTATTTCTTCCCTCCCCAAGCAGATTTACAGAACCTGGGGTGGGGAGAGGAATTGAAACGGGGAATGAAGTCTTGCCATATGCCGGGTTAACCAGAAACATACAATCAGACTATAACTCAAGTCATAATTCAAGCCATACGTTTTGTCTGTCTGTTGACTGTTAAGGTTCTATCAAGAATTGGGGGGAAGGGAATCTGAACTTTTTCATGATTCATAAACCACTCCTTTGCAATTTGGATGATAAATGTCTCTGTCACCAGGATTCACAACACTTGAGTGTTAACCATACCTTTGTGCTTTCTCCTTGATTTCAGGGTGCTGTGCTTCAAAAAGGAACCACATCTAAACTGAAGGAAATACATTGTTCAGAACATTGGGAAGATCCCCTTTTAAGAGTTGATTTCCTTCCGAAAGTGGGTGGCTGTGGAAAAATGAAGCTGAGTCTTGCAATATTTCTGTCTTTCATTTTACAGACTGGGATTTGCTCTGGAATAAAATGGCTGTAAGTATCTCTCTCTCTCTACATTTTTACGAGCAACACGTTATTTTTTTTTAAAAATCTTGTCATATTTGCTGTTGTATGACAGTCATAGCTTCAAGTAGAGCACTATTGGCTTTGGGCACACTGGAAAAACATTTCGAGACTGATACTGCCTTCCTTAGGGCACCAAAAGTCTCACTGATTTCAAGGAATGCAGGATCAGATCGACTACGACAATATGTATATGCTTTATTTCTAAAATGTACATCCTTTGAGCCCAGCTCTCCCCTCATTTACATCAAAGGAAGAACTGGACTAGCCTGACCCACTTAATGAAGCATTTAATGTCAACTTCTACCGAACACTTTCCCACCAGGCACTGTATCGGGCGCAGCACAAACTAGGAGAGATAGGGCAGGCGTTAAGATAATGCTGCCAATCTCTCGCCAAACGGAATAGCTGACAGATAACATGTTTTTGTGAACCCTTTACCCTTAGGATTTTGAGAGCAACGTTCTGACTGTAAACCGGCTAGAGCTGTAAAGTCTGGATTAGGGTTTCCCCCCAGTGTAATAACCTGGCTCAGTGTGCAAACAGCAAAAGATCATTGACATATTTCTCCACTTAAATAAACAATCAATTAGCTGATTATCACAAAACAAACAAACAAACCGCTAGAACAGTCATCTGGTTTCACCCTCTATGTGGCTGGTGAATGATCTCTTGTTTTTATAGAATGTAAGGCCAGGCAGAGATTAAATGAGGCAGGTTAGCCCCGAATGATCGCAACTCAGTTAGTTTCTGGGCCTCAGTTCCCCACTGGTAAAATGGGGCTAATAATCCTTTCTTTCTCCCATCCTTTTTATCTTGTGTATTTAGACTGTAAGCTCTTCAGGGAAGAGACTGACTCTTGCTACATGTATGCACACAGGCTAGCACAATGGGGCCCCAGTCCCAGGGGGGCCTTAGGCATGATTGTAATGCAACTAAAATTCAGGGTGCAATAATACATATTAATATTGAAAAATAGGTTTTAATAGTATCAAACGTCACTTATCTATGCAGTACGACTGGCTCACTGCTTATTGAGGCCCTGATTAACCACTTAAGCACATCCTTAACTTTAAGCTTTGACTGTCAATGGTAATCCTTATGTGCTTAATGTTAAATGATCTGCTAAAACAAAGCCCGAAGCAATACACTCAACAATTGCATTGGGAGTGTTGCCTGAGAAAAGAGTGTGGAGCGAGTGCTGAAATCAGCCCTCCGAAAGGCAAGATTTAGGTTGGTTTCAGGGAAGTTCCGTTGCAGCACTGTAATCGGATCAACACACCAGGAAGACTTGAGGGGTCTGAAATAGCTCTGCCAAAAAAAAAAAAAAAAGGCTCTCAGCATTTATGTTATTAAAGTTTTAGTTTTGGGGGGAGGAAAAATTCAATCTAAGGAATGGCCTTTCCCCTCCAAATGTGTCCCCCTATCTGAATTTTAGTATGGAAGATGAAAGTTAAGATTAAAGTGACATTTGAAGTATGAACTACATCCAGATGCCCTGCTGTGCACCAGTCACACCTGTTCGAACCCCGGTGGAAATCTGCACTAACTGTCTGAGTGCACTTTTCACAAGTGGAGGGCAGCCAGCTGCGATTTTAGAAAGAACTGTTTTTTTTATTTAAGTTATTTTCACTCTCCTTCACCCCCCCCCCAAAAGAACAGGAGTACTTGTGGCACCTCGGAGACTAACAAATTTATTTGAGCATAAGCTTTCGTGGGCTACAGCCCACTTCATCAGATGCATAGAATGGAACATACAGTAAGGAGATATATATACACATACAGAGAACATGAAAAGGTGGGAGTTGCCCAACCAACTCTAAGAGGCTAATTAATTATAAGCAATTATCAGCAGGAGAAAAAAAACGTTTGTAGTGATAATCAAGATGGCCCATTTCAGACAGTTTGACAAGAAGGTGTGAGGATACTTAACTTGGGGAAATAGATTCAATGTGTGTAATGGCTCAGCCATTCTCAATCCCAGGATGGGGCAATTTGTGCTCAGTTACGCTGGTGTAACTCCATGGAGTCACTCCTGATTTACACTGGTGTCAATGAGAATTGTTTTGGACCTAAAGGGCCACTCCCAGTGAAGCCAGTGGGATTTCCTCCTGAGTAGTGACTGCAGGGCTGAGCCCTAAATTACTTGGAGTTGATTTTGATTGTGCATTTTGATTTAAAATGTGATGTAAGGGGGTGGGGGATCAAAGCTTTGTGATAAACTATTTAGAGCTTCTATGCTACGTTTCAATTATCAGAGGGGTAGCCGTGTTAGTCTGCATCTGTAAAAAGCAACAAAGGGTCCTGTGGCACCTTTAAGACGAACAGACTAACAGATGTATTAGATGTCTTGCATCTGAAGAAGTGAGGTTCTTACCCACGAAAGTTTATGCTCCCAATACTTCTGTTAGTCTTAAAGGTGCCACAGGACCCTCTGTTGTTCTATGCTACGTTTGTACATCTGTAAATTAAAAAAAGAAAGAAAGAGGAAAATGCAATAGAACATGAAAGGTAGCTATTTATTTTAAATTATTCTAATTATATTTATGGGTACTGTGGGCCAGATACTCAGATGGCATATATCAGCACAGGTCCACTGACTTGGGGTTCTGCCAAGCTGAAGGACACCAGCTGAGGTTCTGCTCCTATATGTATAAAGCCTGGACCTTGCAGAACAGTTACTTGCATGAGAAACTTTGTGCTGGGGAAGAGTCCCATTGACCTGAAGAGGATTACTTGTGTGTGTAAAGCTATTTACACCAGCATGGGTGTTTACAGGATCAGATCTTTAATTACTGTGCAGCCTTTTCAGAAACTGTTATAAACCCAAAGGTTGTATGCAGTGTTGTTGTAGCTGTGTCTGTCCCAGATATTAGGGAGAGAAGGTGGGGGAGGTAATATCTTTCATCGGACCAACTTCTGTTAGTGAGAGAGACAAGCTTTCAGGCTTACACAGAGCTGTTAGCTGGTCTCTCTCGCCAACAGAAGTTGGTCCATTAAAAGATATTACCTCACCCACCTTGTCTCTCTAACACACCCATAGGGGAATTTTTGTTTTATGAATTTGTTTTTCCCGATAGATTCTTTAGACTGAGGGAAGGTTGTTGTTTTTGTTTGTTTGTTTGTTTGTTTGGTTTTTTTTGCAAAATAAGATATCATCAGAGAAGCTGTGTGCATTGTCTTGCTGAGTATCTGGCCCACAGTACCCATACATATAATTAGAATAATTTAAAATAAATAGCTACCTTTCATGTTCTATTGCTATTTCCTTTTTTTTTTAATGTACAGATGTACAAACGTAGCATAGAAGCCCTAAATATATGAACAATCTGCGAGAGCAGAGTTGCAAGGGGCCATCCTGCACCAGGGCTTTATTGACGTGATTTGTGATCAAGCCTTCCAATTTTTCCAGGGAAGTGTGAGAGTTGCCTAGCGGGCACCAATTTGCAGGCAAGCTACTTGTTCATGACTGTGACAAGTGAGGGGAGCACTAGAGGGCGCTCTGTGCAACTGCACATGTTGCATTGCACAGGCTTAAGACAGGTAACTCTCGCAAATGCATTGAACAAGGTGCACTGAGTCTGCTGAAAGCAGCAAAACATATCACTCACGTTTCCGAATTAGAACATTCATCCTTGTGTGAGAATTAAGTGGTGTCTAGCCTTTGTGTTGTGCCTCTGCCAAGGGGTGAATTTCACCCTAATGAAAGAACTAGTATAGAGGCCCAATCCTGTGTTCATTTTGCACGTGACATTTGCGCTGAAATCAGGGCTTACAAAACAGCTGCAGATTCAGGCCCAACCATATTTTCTTCTTAATGGGTGTGATGTTTAAATAGGCTCTTGACAACCTGTTCACTCGAGAGACTGATTGCCACACAGTAAATGGAGTTGTTGTGACACAAAGATGTGTTTTGTTGGCATTGCGACTTACCAAGTTCTCTGAGGTTTTCTCTTACAAAGACCTGTTTTCACACTCTCCTGTTATCTCTGACTAATTTATCTCTGACTCAAGCTCCCTGGTATCCCACGTTTTAGTTATTTAAAATGTTGTTGCCTTGGGCCTGATTCTGCAGTCCTCACTCCTGTACAACTCTCAGGGTAAAATCCGGCTCCCATCAAAGTCAGTGGCAAAACTCCCATTGGTTTCAGTGGGGCCAGGATTTCACCCCAGACTACAAGTAAGGACTGCAGGATTGGGCCCTTTTCATCTACTGCAAACAGGTTAGTTTAATCACCTTCCAGGATTTTCAGAGGAACATTTCTTTCAAGAGAGAAGGGGGGAAAAAAAGAACGTTGTTCTTCCTCTCAGTGGGCCTGAATCTCTCCTCCCACTGATGTAAATCGGCAGTAGCTCTGCTGTGGTATACGTGAAGGGAGAATCAGAACCGTTGATGCCAATGAGTGAGTTGCATGGGGGAAAAACTACAGGATCTGGCCCTCGGAAGGAGTTTTGCTTTGAAGTTTGCTCTTCCCTTTTTAGCCCTGCAACTGCAACTGGGCTGTTGATTTAAACCAAAGCCAGAGAGCTAACCCTCGGAACCTCCTCTTTGCCGTGCTTAGAACTCTAAAAAACAAAACCACCAACCTTAATCTTCCTGAAATTCAGTTAAGATAGAAAGATTTAAATAAAATTACACTGGGAGTGTGTGTGGGAGAGGGGTGAAGGGTGCAACAAACTTCAGCAAAGGAGGGCTGGTGATTTTGCACTGGCTATCACTTAAAACGTTTAACCCGAAGGAACAAAGGGTTCATAGATTTAAAGGCCAGAAGGGGCCATTGTGATCATTTAGCCTGACTGCCTGCATCACATAGGCCAAACAACCTCACCCAGTAATCTCTGAATCAAGCCCGTAATTTGTGTTTGAGGCTGAGCTATGTAGTACGTCTTTTGGCAACATCTCTGGTCTTGACTTAAAGACTGTAAGTGAAGGAGAAGCCACCATGTCCCTCGGCACGTTGTTGCAATGG